CATTACTCAGTCCTCTTAAAAATTGAATCACGTGACTTGTTCTCTGTATTGTTTAGCTTTGTTAACAGCACCACATTTACATTTTGGATCACGGATACAATTTGGCAAGGGTCTCATTACAGATATCTCCTCAAAAAGTGTTATCAGCTAAGTATAATAATCACTTGCACTCATTTTTCATTGCTTTAGAGTACTGATTTCCTCTTGCAAATCAGCAATCCTGAGAGCATCAACAGTTGAGAACCTTTCCTCCAGATCAGACCAGATTTCGCTCGTGAGGTCTATCCACAGAACACTTTGAGCGATAGATGAAGAGACGGATCGTACGATCCAAGCTGCGACCATATTGTTGTTTCTTTCCAATATTGGATACAGATCGTCATCTTTTGCAGGTGGAGTGATGGTTTCGTCCACAAATTTGTACTTATTTTTCGTAATTAGTGCCATTCTCATGGCCCGTTTCCATGATTGATAATTGTTCCCAGTCAAGATAGGTGAAACAAGAATTTGACTTGGATTTTCATTAGAACGAAGTGTGTACACTTTACCTTTTATAGTATTACAAGAAGCTGTATCACGAATACAAAAACAGATTAGCTAAAGATAACAACTAGCTAACAGTCCTAACAACTAGTCTGTTATGTGATGATGTGGCATCTTGATCCGTTGTCTCTTTGCTTATGTTGCTATCTTGTACTACCTCCGTCCCACTATGTTTGGGACTAGAGGGTGTGGCACAACATTTAAGAAAAAGTGGAGTTAAGTGGTTGGTATTGAATTGATAAAGTGTGAATAAAGTAAGAATGAATTGTAACCACTCAAATATTACCAAATATGGTGATGGAGTATATGGCCCATGGACCCCCGGCCCATAGACTCCTACTACTCTAACGCAGGCCCAACAGGGCCAGGAAGTACACGAAGCCCAAACACAACGGCCCAAGTGTCAAGAAGCCCACAGTGCACATACAGGGGCGCCTTCAGCCCTATGGCCGAGGGCTCCAAAACTCACAGGACAGCCAGATTTGAGCATACAAAGCTACTGGGAGAAAATGACAGAATTCAGGAGCCTTCGGCATCTTCGTGCCCTCAGCATAAGGGTAGCCTTTGGCTACATCGAGCCTTTGGCTTCTCGGAGCCTTCGGCCACAATGGAGCCTTCGGCTACAGTGCAATCATCGAAGATTCCCTTTGGAGACAAGCAACCACCGCATTTAATGCGGCGTCACATCCACCCACCGCATTTAATGCGGCGTCACATCCACCCACCGCATTTAATGTTGTGCACATTCGAATGCCGGTGCCACCCCGATTGAGGTGACCCCTCGGTCGTCAGATTGTTGACACGTATACTCTCATCGCATTTATGGCTGCTATACACATCGAGATCATTTAATGCATTTGACTCTCTCTCTTACTTGCTCTGACTTCTCTCTAGGTTATTCCTCGAATAACCCCCGATAAGCTACCCCCGGGTATGCTGTCTATCATATATGGTATGAGACAAACTTAATGGGACGAACGAAAAAGGTAAAACGGGACAAACATAGGGGGACGGGGGAGTAATATTCTTTCCTCTAAGTATAGCTTTGGATTAACTATTTTAAGTCAAGTAGTAAAAAAAGCTAACATCGATCCAAAAACATACGGAGAATTCCTGATTGCATGTTAGTTTATTAGTTAACATGAGCTAGATTGGTAGATTTAGTTCACTCGCATTAATACTTGCTTGAGTAACGTACAGTTTGATTGTTTTAACTTTGAACAACCACCAACTCACTCTCAGACCATCTTCAATGTAAAAAAACACGGTACATACCACACATAAGAGAGACTAAGAAAACTCATAAGTTGGAATGTTGGATATATCGATCTCTCCTTATGTAAATGATCTTATGCTCCCTTTGTCCCACATTGTTTTGGAAAATCAACATTTTTTATCAATCAAGGTTAATGTTAACTTAACTTTTAAAACATACTTATTCAGAAACTACATTAAAATCTCTTTAAAGTTGCACACTCACTACAAGAAAACAACAATATTGGCACAACATTGGCACAACATTGGCACTGATTGATCGAGTTTGGCACAGGTTATAACATGTTTTTGGAACGGTGCCGTGCCAAATAGCTTGTTCCAAAATGGCATATATAAATATATTGGCACGAAATTTGGCACAGATTTTAAGAATCTGTGCCAAATCCGTGCCAAATACCTTATGAATTTTGATAAATTCATGTGAAATTAAATATCCATATCAAATCCGTGCCAAATTCGTTGTTTTTTGTAGGGACTCTGAGTTAGAATAGAATTATAAATTGACACTCTAATTAAGTGAATAAAATATAAATATTTGACCAAAAAAGTCCGTTTTGCAAATCATTTCGAGACGGAGGTAATATGTTTTTGGTCTTATAAACATTGTGGTTGACATTATTGAAAGAAATTTATCAAAAAAAAACACATAACACTAAACGTTATCACTTAAGTGTTAATGTCTGGATTTTACGGGTAAATGGTATCGGTTTCTGGTTGTAATAAACCTTTAATTTAATATTAATTGTGATTAGGTGATTAGGTGTAACGTTTAAGCCTTTATTCATTTATACGTCAGGACGAGGGTTATTCATGTGACCCTGGCACCCTGCCTATGGTTTCAGAGTGTTCATATAGAGTGTGAGTGTTACGTGTTTGGCAGACTAATCTGCTCCTTAATAGTTAATAGAACTTTTTCGGTTTAATTCTCGCGTCTATATAATCCATTTTTATTAACAAGTGCTCCTTTGCCTACAAAAAATATACACATAATCTTTATTGTAAGTGCTTCACACCTACGACCCATAAAAAAACAAACAAACTAATTTCCATAGTGTGTAACAGCTACAAAAAACAGCTATTTGAAAGTGCCACGTACTATTCTCAATGTGTGTCTTCCTTCATGCCTACAACCCTCCCCACACCCCAAAAAAGCCTGCAATATTATCTAGAGGACTAAAAGCCTCTTTTTATGATCTTTTTATCGGTTTATCATCCAACTTTTACATGTAACTTTTGATTCCGCGCATTAAATTTGTAATAATCAAAATAAGTGATGTTAGAGTTACTTTTCTGATTGCATTGGCTGAAGTTACTGTACATGATCATTTTATCTATTTTCACATATCTTTTCTTTATTTTATTAACAAAATACAATTTGAATTTTTCCGCCACAAATTAGCTGAATCAGTCAATCCATCTAATTCAATAAAAATTTCACAAATTTCAACAGAATCAATTGATTCAATCAATTGAGTATTATCAAAAGCGTAAAAAAAGAACTTTATAGTGTAGTGTACGTTTCGGACTGCTAAGATAATATAACGTACAACAATTGAACATTACTCACAGTCACAAATTAACCTTGGAGTGAACTACTCGTGCACCGCGTAAGAACAGACATGAACATGCCTTGATGCGTACTACACCAAAAACAATTGATTATACATTACCCCAAACGGGGTTTAAAAATTGTGATTACATCCACTCCAAAAACACAAGTACACAACTATGTGGTCATGAGTCATGACTTCCTACGAAAACTGTTACAAATGAAACTGTAATGGATCTCTTCTGAAAGATGAAAACTCGGTGCGATTTTTTGTGGTATATATTGATAACACTTTTGTTATTGTAATGCTATGTAATACATTAATACTGTTTTTTTCTGACACAATTCTTAATTATTCTGCCTCCAACAAGTTTTAATCTTGGATCCGCCACTAGAGTGAAGATTCTATATTTAAAAAAATTACTACGTATCATTTACTACTCCTTTTGTCTCTCAAAGCTTTGTCAAGTTTAACTGGCACGAGAATTAATAAAGTTAAAATTATGTGGTTGAGTTTTGTTTGGAGTAGAAAGTGTAAGGTGTTAGAGACTGTATAACCAAGCCCTATCCGTCGATCCAAATTTTTTTATCTGTTTCTGAGGAGCAGCGAGTTTCCGTACAGTTCCGTACAGTTCGAGTCGTACAGATGTGGGCCCGCGTGTGTCCTAGTTATTTTAAGGGTTATGTTTTACTCTCTATAAATACAAGCTCCCTCACTTGTAATCATTTGATCCGAAAATATTAATAACATCCCTGGCTTGGTAGTGCCTCAGATGTAGTCATTCGTGGCGAACTGAGTTACCAAATTTCGTGTGTTCTTTATATTGTTCTTCGTGTTGCGTTAATTAAATCATAACCGAAAGAAATGATATGAATCACAAATTGATTAATTAAGAAAGAAAATAGTAAAGTTATTAGGAAAATAAAAGAAAAGATGACAACTTTTAAAAGACGCAGAGAGCATTATTTTAAAAATATATGCAGTACGTAGCCATTAGAACTACTAATTTTGTCAAATATTCATAATTCTTTATATGAGAGCATTTACTTATTTTAATATTTCAACTGAAACATTAGAATTGTAAGTACCAAATTGAGACTTTTCTTTGTTACGGAATATTACGCTACAAGTGAACATATGGCTAGTGGTTAGAAATTAGAATTCACAATCACACAAGGCGTTATGTTTATGCATTTGCGACTAAGCGTGCTTGTGGAAAGTGTCATCTAAAAAATTAAAAATGCAGTATATATGTTAATTTTGTAGTTAATAGTTCAAATTAAATGCTTGAACTCATACCGTCCTAAAACATGTATGGTCAATTGGTCAAAGTGATTAGTCATGTTAATATGTTATAGACACAATTTAAGGGCGTTATATTATTGGTCATTTGAACATGATATCATTAACATAGATAGACAATTGAATATTAGAACTTTAACCCTCACCCTAATAATTACTACTTCAGCTTCATAAATTTTTTCTTGCCTGCCATTTTGAGATATCTTAAAAAAATCTTCCAATTTCTATTTTCAAAAGTTTTGTGTGACTAACATTCATTTATATTTTTCATCAAACTTCCATTCAAATCAAGCCTAAAAGAAAACATATTTCACTTACTTTTATAAACAAGTATGATGATAGTTTTGATCATCAATTGGTGCCTCACTAAGGCAGCACTCACTATCACTATAAATATGCACACCACCCTATACTTTCTTCAAGTCCGGCCTAAATCAGTTCTCAAGTTCTCCCATTCCCAGAGAGAGATCTGATCATACCCCTTCAAAAACCCAATGGCCTCAAGGAATGTCCTGAGCATGGAGGAGTTCCTGGAGGAGATATCCCTCCAGCAACAGGCCGTTGCTCTCGAGCTGAGACGCAAACAGCGCCAATCTTCCTCTAAAACTGATCCCAACACCACCGCGAAGGAACTTCTCGAGGCGATCGACCTCCAGGAACGGATGGCCATCTTTGAGAAGAAGAAGCTCGAGAAACAAGCACAAGTCCAGCATCCAAATGTCATAGAGATGTTTGGGGAGCTTTACCACCCTGAGCCTAGTAAGCTTCCTTCTCTTGATGAATCAAGCTCCTCTGCTCCTGTAACCAGTAGTGAAGAAGGTGGTGGGGGCTGTGAGGGAAATGGAAGTAATTATTTTACTCCTACTCATTTTTAATTAAATTCAATACTTACTTGAATAGTAGGAGTCAACTAGTTTAATTTTCTTGTTTTGTGAAAAACAAGTTTCAAGAATCTGTTATGCTTAATCAAGATTATAACTTTATAATCTGATCTGATTTGGTCTGTTACTCTGTTATGTTCATATATTTTATTGAGATAGTCTGATTAAATTTGGTGTGATATGCAATGATTGGATTTGGGCTGAGAGATTAATTTAAATTACTTCAATTAAAAACATATAGAAATTGTTGAAAAATACCGATTTTGAAAAACGAAAGTACTTCCCTCGTTCCTTTTTAATTGCAACAGCCAACATTTCACGTTTGCCAACGTACGAGTTTGACCATTAATATCTTTCATTCCTCATTAGTAAAAAATTTAAAAAATTCATATTTTGAAAATATAGAATGAGAAAAATTTAACAGTATTTTTCAAAAATTTAAGTTCTAATATATTAATTAATAAAATATAGTCAAAATAGATATGTGAATAGTGCAAAAAGTCCAATGTTGCAATTAAAAGAGAACAAGGTAGTATTCTCTGTGCCTTCGGATTTATTGTAGTTTTTGTTTTTCTTTGTTTATGGTCCTTAGGAGGATGCACGGGCACCAGGGATTGAATGAGGAATATAATGCTGGAACGGATCAAGGCTCGTCCGAGGGGAAAATAATGTGTTTTTTATGTTTCTATGTTTTATTTTAAATTTTGTAGATAAAACTTTTATGATGTACTAATTTCAATCACATCTATGAAAACATTGTCACAAAAGTGGTCTTTTTCGCTTACATGATTTATGATGGTTGCGTGTCATGCTTTCTCACTTTGAAGTTTCCATTGCTCAGAAAAGAAGAAGAGGAGATAATAATAGCTTAACTTTCTTTAGAAAGTTTTTTTTTTAAATTATATATAAGAGGGTTTTCTTAAAATATTACTAAAAAATATACAGATAAAAATGTGTTTTGATAACTGTTAATATATTATTGGCCCAAATAGCCTTTGTATATTAATAATAGTTGACAACCTATTCAGCAATCCACTACTCTTACTCCAGTTACCAGGCTTGGGTTATTTCTCCTGATTTGAATCTGTCCAGATTCATTATTTGAGCAAATAATGTGATGTGTGTGATTGAGTGTCCCTGCATATCTGCCAACCCATGTCAACCCATACTCCTCTAGCTAATAAGCCAAACTCCTCTGTTCGATGTTGACTTCCTAGCATGTGCAATTGTTTTTGAAAGGTTGCAGCACCTTCTTCCTCTTCTTTAGTGTGCTGTATAAATCTATCAACTTTTAGACCTTTGAGGGTGTGGTGAGAAAAAGAGAAACCAGCTCTCTGTGAAGCAGAGTAAGAGTAGTGTTGGAAGGTAGAACAGGTTGTTGCTCCCTTAGCCTTAGTGTGCACAAAGAGACCGCCGGAAACCGACCTCCGGCATACCTGAGCCGAATCCGGCAAGACAGAAACGGATCCACAACAGTGGTATCAGAGCCACAGGTTGTCTTTTCCGTCGATTCAGCTGATTTTCGCCGTCCGCCGCCGACCGCCGCCGACAGCCGGTAAAAGTTGCCGGCACATCCGCCGGAACCACCCCGCTGCCTGAACCGCCGCAGGGAGCTCAATCGACGGAAAAGCTTGTTCGTAGCCGGAGTTTGCCCGTCCGTCGTTCTTCCGTCGAACCATACCTCCCCAAACTCGTCCGTCGTTCGTCGATTCTGGAGCTCGTGGGTTGTAGCCGCTGGAGCTAGGGCTGAGCAAAACCCGATCCGACCCGAAAAATCCGATATTTTTTTCGGATATTATCCGAACCGAAGTGGATATCCGACCCGAAAAACCCGAAACCGAAAATCCGATTAGTATTGGGCCTAGATCGGGTGGCGGGTAGGGTTTGTGAATTCCCAACCCGACCCGCCCGAATATCCGAAATATATGTTAGTGTGTACTTTGAATATTTAAATTAATACTTGTGTTCAATTATTTGTGAAATTATTTGTGCACTTTGTATTAAATTATTTGTATAAATTGAATGTGTAGTGAACTAGTGTGTACAATTTTTGTTAAAGTGGCATTCCAACACTTTAACTATCCAATTATAACGTGTTTTGATATAACCAAAATTTCCGAAATATATTAAATTATGTAGTGTGTACTTTGAATATGTTAAATTAATATGTGTGTTCAATTATTTGTGCAATTTGTGTTAAATTATTTGTGTAATTTGGAAGTTTAGTGCACTAGTGTGTACAATTTTTGTCAAAGTGACATTTAAACACTTTAATTATCCAATTATAATTTTTTTTTAATATAACCGAAATATCCGAAACCCGACCCGATATCCGATAATATCCGACTTAAAAATATCCGAAATACCCGATTTGAAATATCAAAGGGTCGAGCCTAGTATTTAAATTAAAAAACCCGAACAGGTTTAGGGTTCGCAAACCCGACCCGCCCGAACCCGACCCGTGCACACCCCTAGCTGGAGCTGCCGTCTGCCTGGGAATCATCGCCGCAGGTGCTGAAGCCGGACGAGGACATCACGAAGGAGCTCCAGCCGGACCAGACCTGTGGAGATCCAATCGTTGGATGCGAACAGAGGGCTTGAGGCAGACCTCGTTCGTTGCTGGAAGCTGATTGCTGCATATCATTAGCCGCCGTCTGGGAGTTGTCGAAGACCATCCGTTGTTCGTCCATAGGAGCCGCCGCATCTGGGAGTTCGTTCGTGGAAAGCAAGTCTGGAGCGGAGCTGGTCAAACCAACTCGCGGAATAGAAACGCAAGTCAAGGAGCAGGCTGGAGGTTCTACTGATGGACCTGGAAGCTGGAGAACTGGGCTGATTGCTGGGCTGGATTACATTTGAAGCTGGACGGCCTTTTTTTTGGACTGGACACACCTAGACGGGCTGCTGGAGTTGGCACAGAAGCATAGGATTTCACGCATGAGCTTTCTGGCTGGACTTGGTCAAAATCAGTCAACTTCCATTCAACAATCCAAAATCCCTTTTGTGGGTACATAAGGTCCAAACACTCTCCTAGTGTTTGGCTACTGTAAGTTTTCTTTAAATGAAATTTCATTTACTGTTTTTCATTTAATTTAAACTGTTAAAATTTATTGTTGTTTTAATACTTGCTAGAATTATATTTATTTGTACTACTGTTTAGCCCTATAAATATTAAACTGTTGTTCTAGCTAAAGTTGCATTTTTTTTCTTTTTTTAATTTTCTGTGCGAAAATGTGTGCATTTAATCAGTACGGAATGACTCCATTTAATGGAAAAACTGATTTTAGCATATGGAAACAGAAAATAAAATGCATATTAATTCAACAAAAATCATATAGTGCAATTAGTCAAACCTATTTGACTTCCGATACGGAAGAGAAAAAGGCAGAAATGAATGAAAGTGCATGTTCTATAATTTACTTGAACTTATCTGATTGTGTGCTCAGAAAAGTAGGAATTTTAGAATCTGCCAAATCTTTGTGGGATAAACTTGAAGAGCTTTATACTGAAACCTCTCTACCGAGTAGAATGTTCTTACTTGAAAAATTTTTCAAATTTAGACTTGACATGTCTAAAGATATTGAAGAAAATCTTGATGTTTTCACAAAACTTATTTCCGATATTAAGTTGTCCGGTGAAAAACACATAGATGATTATACTCCCATTGCTTTATTGAATGCCATACCTAATTCTTATAGTGATGTTAAATCTGCCATTAAATATGGTAGAGATAATATAACGCTAGATATTGTTGTTAATGGTCTCAAAAGCAAAGAATTAGATTTAAAGCAATCTAGGGGAAGTAAGAATTCGGGTGAGGTGATGCATGTTAGGGGTAGACCTCAGAATAGGTCTCATAACAAAAAATATGCTAGTAATGGAGAATCAAATTTTAGGAAGAATTCTGCGAATAGGAAGGGTAGATCTAAGTCTAGATCTAAAGCTAGAAAATGCTATAATTGCCATGAATTTGGTCACTTCATTAAGGACTGTCCTAAGCCTAAGAAAAATCAACATAATGAACATGTTAATGTGGCTTTTGGTGAAGAAAAAATGGGTGATATTTTTATGGTTAATAATCTTTGTGATCATGCATGTGTTAATTCTGTGCTTTCTAATTCCCTATGTGAATCTGATTGGTTAGTTAACTCCGGTTGTACATTTCATATGACTCCCTTTGAAAATCTTTTTTCAAATTATAAGAAAATTGAAAATGGCTATGTGTCTATGGATAATGAAAAGAAATACAACGTGTTAGGAACTGGTGATGTATGCCTTATATTTTCTTCTGGCTCTGTGTTCACTTTGAAAGATGTTAGGCATGTTCCTGATTTACGTTATAATTTGCTTTCATGTGCATCCCTTAAAAATGAAGGTTTTGAGGGAAAATGGGGGAAAGGGGTTATGAAAATCATGAAAGGGTCTCTTGTTATTTTTACTGCTGAAAAGAAAAATAACTTGTATGTGTGTCAAGCTGAACCTGTACCTGATTATGTGTACTCTGTGATAGGTGATAAATCTATTTTACGGCATAATAGATTAGGCCACATGAGTAATAAAGGATTAGATATTTTGCATAAAAATGGTCATTTTGGTAGTGATAAATTTTCCCCTATTGAATTCCGTGAATCATGCGTGTTAGGAAAACAACATAGGGTTAGCTTCCCTATTTCTACTTTTCGTAATCAATCTAAGTGTGTTGACATACTTGAGTATTTGCATGCTGATGTGTGGGGTCCCTCTAGTGTTCCTACTCAAGGAGGGAATCAATATTTTCTTTCCATTATTGATGATTATTCTAGAAAAGTTTGGGTTTTGCTCATGAAACAAAAATATGAAGTTTTTGAAAAATTTAAAAACTGGAAAATCATGATAGAAAATCAAACAGGAAAGAAAATTAAAGCCCTTAGGACAGACAATGGACTTGAGTTTTGTAATAAACAAATGAATGATATGTGTGCTACTTGGGGTATAAAAGGCATAAATCTGTTCCTTACACACCCCAACAGAATGGGGTTGCTGAAAGGATGAATAGATCTCTCTTAGAGAGGGTGCGGGCCATGTTGGCCACATCTGGTCTCTCTAAGAAATTTTGGGGGGAAACGCTTAGTACCGCTGCTTATTTAATTAATAGGTCCCCGTCTGTCCCCTTAGGAGGGAAGTGCCCAGAATCTATTTTCACGGGCAAGAAGCTTGATTTGACGAACTTAAGAGTGTTTGGATGTGCGGGTTATGGGCATCAAAAGATTGATAAATTGGAACCTAGATCTAAGAAGTGTGTTTTCTTAGGGTACCCATAAGGGGTAAAGGGTTATCGGCTTTGGGATAGAAGTGCACCGGGGTTTAAAGTAGTTATAAGTAGAAATGTCATTTTTAATGAAAATGAATTTCCTTGTTTGACTTTACCTGTGCATGTTCCTCATAATGATGCTCCTAATGAGGTGGAGCAAGTGCCTGTTAAATTTCAATCTGAATTTTCTGCTAAAAATGATTTGCATGAAAATGTTCTTGAAAATCAATGTGAGAGTACATCAAATGAGGTGGAGCAACATGATATGCATAATGAGAATGATTTTTCTGAAAATGATGATTTGCATGACTATCAACTTGCTAGGGATAGAGATAGAAGGGTTATTAGGAAACCAGAAAGATATAGGGATTGCAATTTGATTAATTGTGATATATCTGAGTTTGCTTTTAACATATTTGAATCCCTTGAATGCAATGAACCTAAGACTTTCAAAGAGGCTTTAAAGTCAAAATATTCCAAAGAATGGATCAGTGCTATGAATAGTAAAATGGAATCCCTTAAAATTAACCAAACTTGGAAACTTGTTCCTAGACCCGCTAGTTGTTCCTTAGTGGATTGTAAGG